AAACAAATGTTAAATGAAATGTATGTTAAATGAAGTAGCAAATGTACGACACAGACTATTTGACAGTTATTTAAAAATTGTAAAAATTATATTATTTAAAGTTCCGTCAAAAGATGTTGTAACGTGGAAAATAAATTTTGTCCGTAATTGTTGAATATTTTGTTGTAGCCGGACTTGTTGTAGCCTTGAGTTATGTTTACGCGCCGCGGCTGATACATCATGTGTTTACGAGCGCGAATAGAGCGCCGTGTGTTTACAAACGCGCCACGTGCTACCATTCATTCATTCGTCGGCATTCGTACGGACAAGTAGCGAAACACGGCGCTCTGAATTTCTTTACATTTTTCGCATGTCTTCGATGTTAAATGATATCGTTCTAGCTTATAAACACAGTAACCAACTTATTAACCAATATAATTAACGATTCGTATAAGTATATCAAAAATAACGATTCTTTCACAAGAGATATACACATTTCCGCGTGACTTTTTTCTGTGAAATTCACGATTTTTTATAAATATTCACCTCTCTAAAGGGTACGGCCTTGACGTGGCAGAGGGGCTCAGTATTCCGAGGGGTTCCGTTGGGTTCCCCAATCGAATCTCAAAGACGAAAAAGCTAACAGTACCCGTTGCACCATTAATAACATTAATTTTAACGCCTGCTTACTATTACTGTTATTAATAATATACCAACACAGCATAGCCACGAATCGTTCAATGGCTCTTATGTGGCAAGATTGATTAATGCCAGTGTTCCACGCATTAATCGGTTGGTTTTTAACCGACCGTCATTTTTTCGCCGCCGATTTTTAAATGAATGAACGAATTGCAGCCAGTTTGTCGCGCCGCGCGTTTGCTTCGGAAGTGCCGTACAAATTATCGGACTAAAACACTTTTATTTAAAATTAGTCCGCGTGCGATTATAATAATTCGCGAGTGTTCTTCGCGAGAGTGTCCTGTGTTAGGAGAAGATTTTCATCCTGAGAGGAGGAGGAGGCTTAGGAAAAGCATCGGGCACCGGCGGAGCAACCTTGCGGTAAATATAATTTTTTGTCAACGTAAAATTATTTGTGCTCTCATTTATTTGAATCATTGAATTTCAATAATTTAAAATTTATTTAAATTTATTTAAAAATTTATTTATTTAAAAATAAATTTTTGAAATATCTATCATTTAGAACGCTGCTATAATTTGCATCTGTTTGTGTGTTACAGAATCATCGTAGCTACGTGGCAGATCCACTCCGCTGTTACGCATCGAGTCGGTGAGTTACGAATTTTTTATTGGGTTACAAATTTGTGAAGTTTGTCTTAGATTATTTTTATATATTTATATTTATAAAAGTATTGCAGTTTGATCTTTACAGATTCGTTGCCTTAATGAATATATATATATATATATATATATATATATATATATAGAATAGGCTTTAAATACTTTAGATTATATTTAATCCTTGGTTTAATCTTACGACATTAATTTATATTACTTTTTCGCATTTCAATTAAAATGCCTATTGTTATTTAAAAGTGAAGTTGTCTGAAATAATCTCTCAAGAAAATACAAACAAAATAATTTAAAACTTAAAATTAAAATTAAAATTAAATAATTTATAATTTAAAATAAGATATACATATATAATAATAACATATAAAATAATATAGACAGTTTAAAAATAATAATGTTGAATTTATTGAATTTATTTAATTTTTGATTTTCTTAAATAAATATTGAACAACAATAGAAATGGCACAAAGCTGCCTAAAATTTATATTATATTAATATTTTTTAAGTTTTCATTCAAATCTTTTTATGATACATCTTTCATCTTTCTTAAGAAAAACAGAAACAATGATTACAAAAATATATTCTTATATTTATGTATAATAAGAATATACATTGTTTCTTATGTGAAATTATGTTGAATATACTGTTTCTTATGTGTGCTTTTTATTTTTCTACATCTCCTCTTTCTAATTTAATCAGGATTAAATATCTAAATCAGAAATTCTGTTAGAAATTCTTGAATAATTGTATAATTATAAATGTATTTCTTGAGCCATGAATTGTGAATGCGGCACGGAGACGATCCAAAATGCGATTTTATTGGTAGTCGGTCGGAAAGATGATGTAGTGGCGGTAGTGTACAGAGAACCTTAACGTTTCCACCATAAAGGTCGGGATAGCCGCTTCAGGTTTCTCTCTGGTATCAGTACTCGATACTTTTGCTCAATCGATAATACTATTGCCTAGCTACTATGAAATGATTGAAAATATAGAGGTACTCTAGATATTCTGTTATATTATCTGTAGATTATAAGTAAACATCAAAAGCTGATAATTTTCAGCGTTCTTATTTGGTCTACATCAGAGGGCACGAAGAGTACGTTCTTATGCTATTTTCGCGGGTACGGCTGACCTGCATAATTATTTGGGCTTTGCGAAATTTACAAATCCGAGCAAAATATACATTGTGAATAATCACGTACATTTACACATTTTATATATATATATAATTTTATAAATGATAATACAATATACACATTTAGAGAGAAATTAAATGTAAAATGCAATATAGCTTAATAATAAGAAAAATAATAATAAAACTATTAATAATAACAAAATATATGTCCTGTTTGCTATATATAGAAACAGGAGAGCGAAATCTAAAATTTATTTTTATTTATATTTTTTAATTAATTAAATGTATATCAATCCAAAAATGATAAAAAAATTATTTCAATGGAGGATTTATAAAACCAATTTGATAGATGTATGAAAATCGTTAATTGAAGAACGATTTATCTAGATTATATCCTACAAGCCGCTTAATTTGTGAAAAGTAAAACAGAATATTTATTTTAAAATCGAAAATCATAACATTACAGGCTAACCAATTTGTATCACAGTTAATGTACGCACGTATAAACATCTTCATTCGCAATATGTTTACTTTTAATTAACGTATTCAATAAAGCGACCGCGATATTTATCGCGATAAAATATTAATGAGACGTCATAACTATTACATAACCCAAAATGAATGAACACGTATTAAACGTGGCAGAGATTAAATCGAAGATAAAATTGCCGAAGTGATCGATGATGCGTAGAGTTGTTTAAATAATGATGTGTGGGATGAGTCGTTTCGATACGTGTGTCGTTCGATGTATAATCCTATAAAATAAATCATGAAATTATTACCTACCATGTACTCCGCCGCACAAATTTGTGAATTTCCAGATAATATGAAGCTCCTGGCTTATGTCAATTTGATATGACCAAATAATAACGCATTAATTTTATTTTTAAACAAAATGTATGAATTAAATGTATGATCAATTTTCAGAAATTGTCTATAATTTCTGTCGTGTATAAGTTTAGGCTTTATAATTATAATTATCAAATTCCAAACTTACACATGTATATTATGTGTACATGTACATACATTATACAATCATATAATTAATATCGTATAACAAAAGATTATTTGTACGAGTTACGTGTTAATTTTCATAGATACGCGTTCATAAATACGTGTTGCTCTTTCGGGATATCACAATTATTTGAATTTTGGTCCTTGAGACAACACTCGACACATTGGTGTAAGCCAGAAACGTGGCGGAAAGCTCTTAATCCCGGGGTAGCATTAAACATTCTTTGGGACCGCGCTATCCCCGGAGTTATCCCGAAAGGGTTAAGTGACGAATAACTATACGGCTTACGTTAATTCCGCGGTGGTGGCGGCGGGTTGACCTATATATCGCACGATTGCGCCAAAACCGGGGGGAAACCGCGTACAAGTTCGGATGTTTATGCTTCAAGCAAAACCGAGAAGTACCAGCTCCAACGGAGCCAACCTCTCGCCCTTGCCACCGCTATGGCAATAAGCATGCGTTATATGGTTCCCTCATGCGTATTCGGCAAAGGTAAACTTTACGATGAATTTGCCCCCCTGGCCACTTCCGCGCACAACTAGCTAATTAACTATTGCGCCGGATAACTTTCGATAACTGCGACTGTGTCCGCGACGATGTCTCGCAGCTTACGCATAATCAATCCTGCCGTCGCTGTCTACGATTACCTGTGCAACATGCGTGCAGTTTAAACAAAATAAACTTTTCATTACTAGGCGACCACAGAGAATTTTGTATAATTTAATTACAAATAAATCAGAAGTGTCTTCTAACATAATTTTTTAAATCATTCACGGGTGAAATTAAAAGTTAACTCAAAGATACAAAATTTATGGAAAAATAGTTATAAAATAAAATGTGAATAAGATAATATAGGTAAAATAAAATGTTAGATTGTTCTTAGTTTTCTCTAAAACAAAATATCAATTACGTACTGTTATATAGTTGGAAAAATTTTAAGAAAAATGTAAAAGAAAAATGGAAAAAGGAATAAAGTTTGACTTTACCTTTTGTTACGCACGTTATTATAAATTATTTTGGCTAGAGAATATAATGATATGTTAAGAAAAGCATTATTAAGTACGTATTACGTGCATATGAACGAAAGTGGCTTTCAAGATGGTTGTTAGGATTCAAGATGCTATTTAGTAAGCGATATTTTCATAATCATAAGAAGTAATGTTATAATCACATTTACGTTTCTTGTTTCTGACGTTATAAATTTTTATGAAGGTAAATTACGAAGGTAATGACATCGATAAAAACTTTTCTTAATAGACTACATAAGACGTTTCCATAAAAGTTAAAAATACTTACTTCATTGTGAATCATTAAATATTTCGACTGAGGAATATCAACAAAAAGTAAAAAAAAATAATTATAGAATTTTATAAAAAATATATCATGTTTATCTTTTCAGAGAAGAAGAGGAAAAGAAGATTTATTTAACGTTCAATTTTTTTCTGCATTTTCCTATTCTAAATCCTTTTCCTAAATTCTTTCTCCGATAACTTATTTTAGAAAAATATCACAACTCAATCAAGAACTTTTTTTACATACACAACTGTACATTGAATTGAATTTTTGTAATTTTAAGTTAGGTACGAATGATTTTGAAATGGCTATGTGTTATACTCTTCATGCTTTCGATGTACTAGCTTCAGCAAATTTCGTTGATGATTCTTTCGCGGGTTGTGGAAAGAATAAAATTCCGCAACAGCAGACTGCAAAAAGAAATACATTAGAAAAGAAATTAGATTTAATTCTATCAGAGAATTAGAATTAATATTGTTATACGGCTTATGAGATTCATTGGAGCTTTATAATTCTTTATTAATTCTTTCGTTGCAGATTGTATCATCTTAGATACAGAAACTTCGAATAAACAATATTTTTGAGACGATAAATTTGATTAAACGTTTAACGCAAACAATAAGGTAAACTATCTACGATCCACGAAATGATAACACGAATTCATAACGAAAGAATGAAACTATCGTATGCGTTACATCAATACTCCGTACCGGAGAAGAAACAGCCGAATCCCAGGAAAGCGGCGACGCACTCGATGCCCAGAAGCGCGGAGAAAATCAGATTTCCCACGATAGCGGCAATATTTCCAGTGATCGTGAGGATGCTGGCGCTCGTGGTCCTGCGAAACGAAAGAACAATGTTCCGTTGACCGATTACATTTGTCTCTCGCGACAATGCATCCTCGTTCCTTCGAAACGTTAACGAATACGGATACGGATGATAAAGCGGCGGAATCGAGGATTGTCGCTCGATGAATCGTCTCGAGATTGCTGCCGTTCGCGCGCGGTCGTCGCCACGTCCGCCACGTGGCGCAATTAATTTCTCCGGAATTACACGGGGATGCGCGGGCGAGAGTGCGGAGGATACGGTCGCGCGCGATCTCAAAGAGACGCGCTTATATATTCGCGCGGCATTACCTTAATGGGACGGGAATAACGTCGACATTCACCGCGGTAACGATATTACCCGCTATTCTTGTCGTCACGATAACCGCCGCCGCCAGCGTCAGCATGTACGGCGGAGACTGCGCCCAATTTATTCCGAAACTGCTTGCCACCGATATCAGGAAGGCCGCGACTGCAACAATGGTGTTGTACCCGTTAATTTTTCGGATTATTCCCAGGCGGGGAGGGACACAATCGTTCCGCAGGCAACGCCCGGCCTGCCTTCTGGCAGTACTAAAAATATGTGTAAAAAAAATACACAGAAAAAAATTGATATTTTTTTTTTTTTTTAAAGAAAAAGTAAAAATACTTTTATTTACTACGAAACGTATTTATGTAATATGCGTCTCTATTACTTATCGCTCGCACTAGTTTTTTAATGATGAGTTAATTGATAAAAATAACTTTTTATCAAAGCAATTGTTCAATATGGAGATCTTTTTTATTTTTTGTTTTACACAATAATTGTATTGACGTAGTCTTACGCATTTATAATCTGTTTTCGTAGCTTGGTAGTCGTTATGAATCCAGTAAGAAAAGAGAATAGAACAGCTGATGACGCTATGATCGTTGAATTTTGATAAATCACAGGATTGATAGTCCACTGAAAAACCAAGATATATAATTGTTATTATATAAAACGATGGTGACGCAAATTGCTAATGAGACTATAATTTGCGGTCAATTTATGATCGATTTTAATTCATTATCCTATCCATTAAATGAATACAGTTTATAATGAACGTTAATAATATATATGTTATCTTATCTCAAATCTTATCTTAAAATTAATTAATGGCATAATTTTTTTATTTCCAATTATTCTTTTTACCTTATACTTTATTTAATTTATGATTATTTTGTTGATATAGTTTTACTATTTATTTCGATATATATATATATATATATATATCTTTATGTTCTAAAATTATTAGTAAGTTTCTATGATATTCCATATAATATATTAATGCGATTTAAATTTTATCAAGAAGTTACTTTAATATAAATGTGATTAGACCGTCAATAAAGTATCTCTTGGCGTCACACAACTTTTTACCAACCCTGAAACACATGTCATCGACATTGGAGTAATTCAAATATCGTCTACCCGGTAGGGTCGCACGACAGTCTAACATCTCACACATGGTGGGCTGTCTCTCATTCGACGATGTCCAGTTTTCCCAGTCAAAGTTGTTGAGAATGATAAAGAGATGCGGCACCCACAATCTCATTACGTTAAATCTAAACGCAATTGAATGGTATTCGTTATCATTCTTTTTTGTTTTTTTTGTAATGTTATCGCATCGGAAAGCGTCAAGGGCGCCCCAACTTACTCCAAACTTACCCAAGCATACTTCCAAATTGGAGGAAACTTACGAAGCAGAAGGCGGGCAGGTAAGCCGTCGTCGTCAGTAGTAGCTTCGTGTTGTACAACGAGACGCGCATCCTCTCGAGACTCGCCTCGAGTACGGGACGCGGCAATTGCGTCTTTTGCCGAACGAGCAGCGCTTTTATCTGCGACAAGAAGAGGGTGACGATGAAAGGCGCCCTTTTCTCGGCCCACCGAGTGAATTATGCGTCCGATTTGTGCACCGCTATCTAAATGCAGTGCACGACAGCGACGTAAAATACGAAAGCACAAACGTATAAGATAGAGAAAGATGTATAATGTATGATACATAAAGCATGAACGGTATAAATTTATCATTGTTTTCATTATCAAGATCTGAATAAATAGATCTGCGAAATGGTGATTTATTGTCCAAAGGTTTTATGATAAAAAGAGGTGCGAAATTTAAATTCTCTTGGGGTAGTGTATATAGAGTAATGCCCGACCTGCCCTCATTCGCCTGGAAAATACGATTTGCGCCTTTCTCTACTTCCGTTTCCGCTTTACTTCGCCCCTCTCGCTCTTTTTCTCTTCGCTTCAGACGTGCCGTAAATAAAACCGTGTCGTTTATATCTAGCCGAAACGCTATGAAGTCGCGGAGGATATCTCCCGGTCATTTGTTAGAGTCCGAAACGAGTTTTGCTCGATAAGCCGGTAAAAAGTTCATAATGCCCGAATAAAGCAATATTGTCGTTACTCAAGTCGGAAACGAAAATATATCTTGCTCCGAGTAAAAAACAACCAATAACGAATGTAGACTTGTCTTCAAATATCAATCGTTAGATCAGAAACATTAATTTCTGTGACTCAATTTAATTTTAAGATTTTAATAATACAATAAATATACATATATGTATATACATGTTTACGTTTATTTAACAGGATGATAAAAACATACCGAAAAGCCTCGGAGAGATCATCAAATTTCTAATTAAGCTTTAGTGCGTTTCAGCTTACTTTGATGGTGAATAAAAGGAAATAGTCTAAATAAAAGTATAAGGAAAAGTAAAAGAATAAAGAGATAAAAGTTAAATTGGGCGTTTTAGACGTTACTTGTCTTACCGGGAACGTGTCCGGAGGTTGCCTGGTGTTCATACAGTACATTCTCCTGAGTAATTTCAAGGCAGCATCTGACCTGCCAATTGCCATGAGATACTTAGGACTTTCCGGTAACATGGTCGCCGTCACGAGACCAACAACGGGTGGTATCGAGCAGATCAGTAGATATATACGCCAAGAATTGTAGTCTTGGCCAAGGATATCAACGTGCCAATCCATCGGTAATATTGAGAATCCAAGAGCTGTTGAGTCGGATACATTTAATTATTGAGGAAAATCAATAAGAGCATATTATATCTTTATTAACTCTTTTTCTCTTCGGAAAATATCGAGCAATCTTTTGACTTTTCAATCCTTTCGCAAGATTGTCTTTGCGATAGATGACAATGGGGAAATCTTAATCATATTTAAAGAGATTTCAATCTTTCGATCAAAATTAATTGATTAATTTTTCGAAGCTTTGCTCGCGAGAGCATTCGCCCGTTCAACCGGAAACTATTCCGGTACCAATGTGAGTCACCATACGCGTCCTTTCGACTTCTCGACCCTTTCGCATAGTCGTCTTTGCGATAGGTGACAACGGGAAGTCTTAATCACGTATATAAAGAATCAGTCCTTCGGTCAAAATTAATTGATTAATTTCTCGAAGCTGCGCTCTCTCGATAGCTCACCCATTCAACCGGAACTATTTCGGTGCCAATGTGATTCACCGTTGTACGCGTTGTTAGGTAAAGTTCGCTGGTTATTACACACAGGACGCCGCGATAGTGACGCGTAATCTAGTTTCGAACTAGTTCCGGCAGCAAGAGCTCGCACGAGATCGCTTCTCGAATCCTTTTCACATGAGCCACCCACAAAATATCATCGCAAATAGATTAAGTACAAACAAAATAAACAGCATTGTCGTAATGACAATAAAAATTGTAATTAGGAAATCATTGTGCTTGTCACGTATATAATTTTTATGTAATTCAATATAAACCGAGAATATGTTCATAAATAACAGAATGTAATAAACGACATTAGAATTGACAGGCAGGATTTTTATTTAATCTTCTTTTTAATTTCTTTAATTTACACATATAAATTCAAGATAATTGTTTATGATTATTATGATAAATATTATCATGTCTCAGTGATCGGATTGATAAAGACATTTGGCACGGATAGTCAGGAAATTCCAAATTCGAACCCTGGCTGACGTGATATTTTTCGCACTAAGAATTTCTTGTGAGGGAAGGGGAATAATCAATTTCATATTTGACGATTGATTTATTAAAACGGAAAATTTACCTCTGGCTTTGCGCCACGTTGCGAGTCGTCTGTTAAAAATAATGACCTATGATTGGCGACTTAAGAAATAATCTTGAATTTATATATATGTTATTATTTATATTTATATATATAAATTAAAAAGAGATTGTTAGATACTGAAAATATATCATTTATTACATTCTATTATTTAAATTTTTGTTTTACATTTTATAACTATATATACTTTTTTTGTGTATTTCTTTTTTTTTGTTTTTATCTTAAGCTCTTAATGTATCTTTACATTTCTTGTTTATTTTTGCGAGCATTGTTGTTGATAAGTGCAATGCATTAAGCGATTTATCGTACGATCGCGTGTTTACCTGCTGGTATGATGTTCGCCACGGAGAAGAGAAATCCCGTCCATGTGGCAAAGCGGGGTTTATACCTCGCCGAATGGAATTCCGTCAGGTACGTCATCACCATCGCCAACGGGCCGCCTATGCTGTAAATCATAGATGCTCGCGCGTTATATTTTATCGAGTGTAAGATTGCGAGGGTAAATACATTACGCGATAAACCTTGAAAGACCGAAAAAGAATGCGTTTGAACCACCTTCAATATTTTTAAAAGAAGAAAATTCGACTAATGTAGAAAATTATTCAAAATTTCATCAAAATAGATTAAGTACAAACAAAATAAACAGCAACAGTCGTAATGACAATAAAAATTGTAATTAGGAAATTATTATGATTATGCTTGTCACGTATATAATTTTTATATAATTCAATATAAACCGAGAATATGTTCATAAATAACAGAATGTAATAAGCGACATTTGAGGATTGACAGGCAAGATTTTTAAATTAAATTCTGATGTTGAACGTTTTATGACTTCCTTAAATTTGATAAATGATTCTTCAGCGAAATATTTGATATAAATAACGTCTTTTCTTGAAGTAAGTGAGATGGTTATAAACAAATTATTTTAAGAGATCTTTGAGAAAAATTTTTTGGTAACTTTCTTAGAAGAATTATCGTACTTACAAAATCCCGCTGACGAATTTGACTAGCAAAAATATATAGTACGATTGTACGCCAGTGCTCACGATATTTAAAATTGAATCACCGACTAATGCAAGCATGAATAGCGTTTTCATACTTGTATAAGGCGTTATGTAGTCCCATATAAAAGAAGTTGTTGTCATACCTGTAACGGATCAATAATTAAAATAATGATATTTAATATAAATTGAACTTTGTGAAATAAGGGGGATAATAAAACAAAAGTTCAACGGAGGATTATGAATAAAGTAACATAATTTTAACAGATTAAGTCTATTACATTATGTTTAATTATGTTTAATAATAATAATGCTGGTTATTTTAAAAAGATCATTAAAAAAAATTTGATTTTTAAATATCAAATTATTATATCTTTCATCATTATCAATTCTTCAAAAAATTATGTTATAATTTCTTAGATTGTTAATATCAGATTTTTATGGTTATTGGATTTACTTCAATTGGAATCAATTGTACTTTGTACCTATGTAAGGAAATGCAACGAGCACGCCTTTGCGGAAGAACGTGAGCTCGAGATCGCATTCGGCCGATGCTAAGATGAATGCGCCGGAAGTAGTGTCAAAAACGGCGGTCCATGCGATTGGCAACACCGCCAACAGTAGTAATACATTGAATAACCCATAACCTGAGACAGAAAAATAAAAGGTTAAAGTAAAAATCGTTATATATTTGGAATGATGCTAGAAAATCTTACCGGTTGCGGAGATGGCTTTATCGAAATCAGCGGGTTCATTAACATTGTCTGAAAAACGAAAAGCGAGTGATTTTACGAAACAAGAACTCACGTCTGCATTATTGGTTATATAATAAATAGCGCAAGTTAAAATATATATATATATATATATATATATATATAGAAGAGTCTAGACACAGAGATATAGAGATACAAACTATCTATATATAATGCGAAAGAACCACAGTTTAATTACAGCTAAGGCAAAATAAGAAAAAGAAACCAGTATTTGCAATTTTTGAAATGATTATGATATGCAATTATATCTGACTAGGAAAAACTATATCTGGTTACGTTGAGGAAACAAGATATTAAGTACAGAGATGCAATCAGAGATGCGCCCTTGAATTCTTAGACATTTGCATTTATGAAATTCATCTAAAATTCATGTATAATACATTATACATACAATTTGTGATAATCACAAATCTGCATATAGTTTTTTTGCGACGTAATAATATGTTAATTATATATGAGCGTGTAAAAATCTATATATCAGGTACATAAATTTGTATTTATACACAGAGATAGATTTATTAGAAATAAGGAGCATAAAGTAATTTTTTTTCTCTTAATATTTCACTGTTCAGTAATCTAGAACTCTTACTCGCACTTTAAATTTCGATGATTCTTAATCGCCTCTGCGTGTACGTCACTACACAGTTAACTCACTACGCAGAATTCCTTCGATTTTGAAGTATATTTGGGATTAAACACTACCGAACGTTACGTAAGAAGGGCTTCGATTTCTCACCGGTTTTCGTGGCGATCTTGTCATGGTCCCGGTCACTCGCGAGCATATCCGACGCGAAGATGCGACTGCGCTCGAAGTGGTGGATTTCGTCCCGCTTCTCTCAAGATGAAAATAGAAGCCCCAACTGGCTTAGATGGTGATCGTTCTTCGCCAAGTGCTTCTTGTTTCTCCCAGAACGGAACTAATTGTGCCCGAGTCCCGGCTGTACGTTATTCGGTTTGGATAGAAAAGCGAATCCACTTGAAAACCTGTTCAGATATATACACTTTTTTTTTATGCAATTCGCGATGTCGGGAAGTGGTTCCACGCATGCGATCGGCCTATAAAACGTGATCGTGCGTTCTGACAAGCTTCACGCTCGCGTAACCCGCCAATAAAAACGGGTTAAATGATCCAATTGTTATGTATGCGCTTCAGCTGTTTCTCATTAGTGAATGGAGTGTCTTAAAAACTAACGTTATGAATCGATGTATAATTTAAATTCAATATTGCTTTTTAAAAATTAATATTTGTTTTACTCGTTACTTATTAAAATTGATGAAGTATTTATATAATTAATAGATACTTGAATAATATAAAAAATTTTTTAATTATTATTACTATTTCCACATTTCTATTTTATAAAGATGAGTTAAATATTAAAAGATATAATGTAAACTTGTGACTCATTACTTATTATAATATTTTTTTATTATAAAACTATTATATTATATTTTAATATCAGTAAATGGCTGCTCATTATAAAGACAATAATTTAAATTATTTTATATATATTTTATATATCGCGGCTAAGTCTTGATGCTTAATAATTATTTTTATGAATTTATATATATAAATTCAATAGGTTTTGTTTCTGCCATCAATATGCTATTATTAATAGATTAGAGTTAATAGAGTTAGTGATAGCCAGCTAAAGCCAGCATTATATATATTCCTCTTAATATCTCAATAATTAAATAAATAATATCGATTAACTCTCATAATTCTTTTCTTTATTCTTCTTCAGAAATAAATTTTATTTCGAAAAATATCATTTATTATTTAATCAAGATTCGAACCTAGAACTTTCCAATTTTCCGAGGGACGTCTTTACCAATTCGACCGCTAAAACACGTGGCGATACTTTTCGCAACAATGAGATAAGTAACATGAGTAGATGAGTTAAGTAACATTTTCCGCTGACGTATATAACATAAATATTTAAAAATATCTACCGGTTTTTAACTATTTATGTTGTATGTATCAGTAGAAAATGACTTCATGAATGACTTTCGTGTATTACTTAACTCATGTTGTTGCGACAAGTGTCATCACGTGTTTTAGTGATCAACGGAAAATGATTTTGTGAATGAATTTTGTGTATTACTTACCTCATTGTTGCGACAGGTGCATCATCACGTGTTTTAGTGATCGAATTGCTAAAGATACTCATTTCAGAAAATCAAGAAATTTCAAGTTTGCTCGGTTACTTTTCAAATAAATAATGTCGATAAAAAATCCCCCCCTCCCCTATAGAAATAAATCTTATTGTGGATTTGCAGAAAATATTCACCTCATTCAGAATTGAAATATAGAACCTTCTGACTTTTGGGGACGAGCGTTTCTTTATCAGTTCGACTACTAAGGCATGTGACAATAATTAGATAAATAATACAAAGTATCAGTTAATGATACGTAATTGTTGGAAGAAACAAAGTCTATTGAAACTTACGTATACATATAAACTCATAAAAATAATTATTAGGCCAAGATCTAGGTGCGATTGAATACGATTTATATATATTTCTCATTCATATTTCTTGTGTTATTTTATTATATAACATCTACTGTTTGCTTCTTTTGTTTATTTCTTTTTTTTTTAATACTTTTTATGTATACGAGTTCATAAAACTTATTAAGGCTATTACAAATAACTTTGAAAAGTTAACTAATTAATTATAACTAAAAGTATATAATAAATAAAAATGACCATTTTAGTTTTGCAACAAAAATAAGAACTATAAAATAAACGTTAATTATTTCTTAGTTTTTTATCTTTTTTTATCTTTTTTTAATTATGATATGAGATAATTGATTCAAAAATGCATAGTTTTTAATAATTTATATTGAACTGGAAATAATCAACCATGATTCTAGGAATAGATTGGAATGATTGGAAAAGATTAGAAATATCGTACATCTACTTGTGACTATTATTGAATATGCGGTTTTAGTTTTGAAAAATAATATTTTTATCGCATATGATAAGAGTTTAACAAGTTTTCATTCAGAAAATGCATGCATAAAAAAAGTAATTACTCAGAAAAGTTTTATTAACGTATTTATACTTACTTATCACGAAAAAACAAAAGAGTTACAAAATTCATATTTCTTAAGTTTTTACTGTACAACATTTATGTTCACTCAATTTCGACATAGTTCTTTGAAATTGTATTTATTTTCGTTACAAAGAAGAAAAAAAAAATATATCACGTAATTAATCGCGAATGTAAGATACATGCTTTTATTCACTTCCACATTTGATATAAAAATGGAACTGCTCTATATTAAAATAAATGGAAATAATTTATGGAAACGTGAATAATTATTTCAAAAAGATATTCTAGAAAGATATCTAATATAGAACGTAATAGAATTCTTTGCGAGAAAAGAGAAATGTGAATGAGCAATGACTGGATAACACAATGCGACTCTCACTTTTGATTTCTCGCGAAGTAAAGGAGAACACGTCTCTTATCAGGATTAGCATATCACATGTTACACAATCATTGTGCAAATATATTCGCTACTGTGATTTGATGCACGTGTGTATGTTGACATTTACATTTCAATTAATTTTTATTTCAAAAAATTGACAACGAGAAAGATAATCTTGATCGTTATTTGCATTTATTCATATGAGAAATCTGAATTTATTAAATAGGAAAAATATTATTCATAAATGTCACATTTAAGATCGTTTCTTTTTATTAATAACTCTATCATTAACTCTATTAATAATTCTATTAATAATTCTTAAAAGTTGTATTATTATTTATCTTTATTATTTTCTTTAATTTATTTTATAGTGTACAAAGGTAATAATAATAATAATAATAATAATAATAATAAATATAATAATAAAAGAATATTAAAAAGAAGCTAATGATTCAATATATTATTATTACAAAATTATAAGCTTTCATATTCTTTAATGCATCACAATTTCTTTACCATTAAAATTCAGGATACAGAATGCCTTTTGAAGCAATCATGATCCATATCGCTTTATGAAGTTCGCTAAAAGAAAGGTCAGATTATTAATTTAGTGAAAAAAGCGATCTGAAAAAGATTCGTTTTTTTTTTACGCTCATTCCATCGTAAAAGTAGAGTGCGTCATTTCCGGTGGTTCTGGGCCATGTAGACGTACGCTTTGCAATGGTAGAAACGGAAATGGATATTTGATCCGGCTGTGTCGCGCTGATCTTTAGTCACCAACTAGTTCTCTCAACGGTGTCTGACCCAGTTGACAGGAACACGAGAGTGTCGCAGTGGGCTCAAACTGGCTTCAGTGTACTCCTCTCTCCGGTTTCTGACCGATGATTTTCGCTTAATGGCGAGAGAAGTATACATACAAATTGCCGACATGTTTGAAAAGCTCTTGTATAAGATAATTTCCAGCGTGTTACCACTATCATCGTTAGATTTTAGAAATAAATTCTAGTTTGCTGAAAATCATATCTCGCACGCAAAGCGCACGCAAAACTGCGAAAAAAATCATTAACTTATTAACTCATAATTACTTTTTATTTTTAGTTTTAATTTTTAAGTTTTTCAATTCCGCTTAAGCTGTGTTATACGTCGATGTAATCAGGAAGAGATATTTGATATTTTTATCTTTTACTTCTGAATAGATATAAATATAAATATATATATTTTCTTTATTTAATGCGTCTTGTAAAAAAGATTTTTATACTTTTAATTTTTAACAGAATTTATCAAAGAGAATAAATATTCAGATAATTGATGTACAGCATTGTTGACTGTATAATTTTAAACGTTCGTACTTTAGATAACATCACTTTTGCCGCAAAAGTACGTTCGTGATACTCGATAAATGTTGGATAAAAATAGAGACAAAAATGATTTCAATAAAAATCACTGCATGCCGAGTTCTGGCAGCTGGTAAAATACTGCGGTCTTTCGATGACGTGGTTAATTCGTCGCAAAAACTGCATCACTGGGCTTTGCGTGTATCCCTCGTGTGAACTGTCATATTTATTCCGGAATCACTCGCATGCATGATGATGCGAAGTCGGCCATTTGCATTGCATGAAGCATGTTAATAGCGATCTTATCATCTTATAGCGCGGCCAATAATTTTCTTTCCATTCCGAGAAGGTTATTAGGAATATATTAATTATTATATTTCCTCAGTTTTAATTTTTAATTAACATAATAAAAGGAAAAGCTGTTATCGTAGGAAGGATAATTTGATTTTTTACTTAAAATATGATTATTGATTAAAAAGTATCAAATATATATTTTCAAATATCTGTGTATTATTTATATATTTAAATATGTTTATTTGATAATGTATGAGGAACCAAAATAGTGAAATGGTATAACGATATTGTATAATATTGCAGGGAAATAGTAATTGTTACTGATATCGACAATCCGTGGAAACAGCGTAAAGCGTGCTATTATTATTGGCCATTGTGGTTTCATTTACGAACTGTAATCATTTGAAGCATTTGGGCCATCAATTTCCAATTTGGAATTCAATCGAGAAATTTCTTCTTCAATAAATTATACCAATACTAAAACTATATTAAACCGAATTAAATCTACATCAGCTATTATTGATGCGAAAAAGACTTGTACATATGCTATGTATAAATACTGTTTAATTAATTATTTAGATCCAAGCTTTGTAGTTGATTTTCGTCTTTTACATTTTTTCTTACTTTCTCTTTTTGTTTGCTATTATTTTAGTTTTTAATAAGTTCAACAATAAATTGTTTTTATTAGGCATATAATAATAAACATTAAATGTATCTAATTATTTAAAAAAAAGCTCGATAATTTCGGAGCAGGAAGATAATGAGATGACAATGAGAAACGGAGAAGTAAAGTAGAGATATATATATATATATATATATATATATATAAATTATTTCGGCGTTGGAGTTCAAGAGTAATTTTGAAGTTAAGCACAATTTAACCGGACAAGCGTAACACGCTTATATTGTTAAGCGTTTTCGTCGCGAAGCGACGTAAACGAAGCGGTCTCATAACTAGACGGATACTTTTGTAAACCGTCCAAAGTCGAACAAACAGCCGC